GGGGGGGGGGGGGTAACGTGGAGGTTGAAGGGTTAAAACGAGTTCCACGTAATGAATTGAAGAAAGATTTCACGATCACGGTTCTTTTTAATGCTCAAATAAAAATCAAAGGAATTCTCAAAAAAAAATCACAAAATGCCAAATGTTCAATACGCAAAACCCTTTACCTTTTCATTCTTACATTAACAATACTTTTCAATTTTTGTTTTTGATTGACACTCAAATTAATGAGATGTCACGCATTCACATTAAATTATATGCATGATACAGCGCAGTATCGTTTAATAATAATTTTTTAAATGCATCACATGTTTTAATATAACTATTTAATCAATTTTTCTATCAAACAATCAAGCATGATTAAGAGCAATTGACAAATATAATTTAATATTATATTTGTCAATTAGTAATTATTGTAAAGGCTAATTGTAAAAAAAACTCTCAAATAACTTGCAAAACGTTAATCTAAAAAATCTACGAAACTTACTGTTGAGAGTGTACACTTCATGGCAAATCTACTTTTCACAGGTTCTTAGTAATTCATCCTTTATCCCGTTGCTGCCTAGCCGGGACTGACGCATCTTCAACGGATATCAGATGCGTCGCTGTCTCCGTAGATTTTAACGCACGGCAGGGGTGCGTCAGGAACTTTAACGCGCACCAGGGATGTATCGTAAATTCTTTAAAATTTCAAAATTTCCTCGCATATCTATTGTCGAAACATAATGAATAATATATATAATATAATGAACATCCACATTATCACAATTTCGTTGTATATTAACATACTTTTTATTAAATTTTTTTGAGAACACATTTTAGCTTACATTGTTAATGATTTTTTTCTTTAAATTTTCCTGCAACAGTTTTTTGGTGAAAAATGTTTTAAAAAAAAGAAAATAAACATTTAATTAAAAAAGTATATATTTACCCTTTCCCACCTCCGCACCTTAAAACTGTTATCATATACTCCCCAACTTAGCCCCCCTTAAACAGCTCCCCTCCCCCACACCGACCCCACCCACCCATATGGCAACAAGACAATGATGTTTGATCTCATTATATGTAAATCCAGATTTGGATCTTTAAATATAATATTCCGGAATCAATATGATTGATTGATTAGTTAACGTTTTATTCTTTGTGCATCAAGGGCGAGTCATTTTTTTGTCAAAGATTCTTTATTGTTCTAGAAAACAAGGGAATGAGAAAGCGAGAAAAAATTCCTGAATAATGTTTGGGAAATTTCCAGTTTTGGAAAAAAAAATTGATTCGGAAGCGATCCGGAATTTCGAATTCCCAAAACCATTTTTACGGAGGAAATTAAAAAAAATTCCGCGATTACCTTAGATGTTGTTTGATGAATCATATTCTAAATTTTTGGACAAAAGGAAGCGGATTGTACATTTTTTGCAAAGAAATTTTGCACAGATTTTTGCATTGGTGGCTGGAAAGAGAATTTGAACATTTTCAGTTTTTCTTGAATGCACACATTTAGATTTAAAAAAAATTTGCAATATTTTGGCCTATTCGCGTTTGCTGGGTCTTGGGCTTTCATAAAAGTATAGAATTTGTCGCTCTTAACGCAATTGTATTATGAAATTATTTGCTGAATAACGAGAATACCGCAATAAATATTTGGACTTTTGCGGATTATGGATGTAGACCACGAGGACTATCCATAAACGTATAAAATTTGTATCACAGTAAGAAAATAGGGTTGACAGAAATATATACATTTACCAAGAAAGAGTAACTATGTTATGAAGCCTGGTTGAATATTATTTTTACACAATTAAAACATGATATTTCAAATATGCAATATTCTCAAAATTATTTTTTTGTAACGATTCTTTGTTAATCTTCACTTTCGTCTAAAATACATAACTGGGTCTTGACAAAGATTTAGTTTGGCAGACTTGACAATCGGTTCAAGGTCTATTACTGAATTTTAATATTTTTAGGAAAAATTGAAGAGTCTTACTCTCTCCCCTCCATTTCCTCCTCACCCCCCAACCATCCAGTAGAAAACACACCGGTCTTGTATTATGGCGCACTATCATTTATTTGATCCACGTACTCCCATCATAGTTTTATATTCAGCTCATTTTTTTTCATTTACTCCCGTACGGCGTACAACCATATGTGATCGAATCTAACCAAACTTTATTTACAAACCTAAAAGGGGGGGGGAGGGCTAGGAGGTTGAAACTTACCTTCTTTATTCGTTTTCTTTAAAGCAATATGTAAATATCAGGTTTTTGCATTTTTAGAAAGGGTTGATTGGCCGAGAGAGATAATGTAGGAAAAATCATCATACTAATACATTTTTGAATTGTAATATGGTCAAAATATATATACCAATGAAACTCAATCTAAATTAATATATTTTTTTGTTGTTGAAATATTTAAAAATATTATTGTTGCATTCAATATCCTGCGTGAGGTGGGGGGACATAATATTTTTTCCTCTTCCCAAGTTTCTTATCAATGGTGGGGAGGGAATGATGATAATTGGGGGGAAGGGGGGGGGTTAAAACTTCTAGGAGAAAGATGAATATCAACTATATGGGTGAAATATTGAACCTGAGGGAGTGGCAATATTTAACATCTAGAATACAAATAATTCGTTATTCCATTTGGTAATCGTACCCTTGAGGAATAATTGAAATGAAGAGATTACGCTTTTATCCTTAAATTAAAAGTGCCCACAGTGGATATCCAGATCAACCGATAAAGATTATGAGTATCAAACACAAAAAAAATCCCAGCACAGGATTATGAGAATTAAACACAAAAGTTCCCAGCTCAGGCTTATGATAATTAAACACAAAAGTTCCCAGCTCAGGATTATGATAATTAAACACAAAAGTTCCCAGCTCAGGATTATGATAATTAAACACAAAAGTTCCCAGCTCAGGATTATGAGTATTAACCACAAAAGTTCCCAGCTCAGGATTATGAGTATTTAACACAAATGTTCCCAGCTCAGGATTATGAGTTTGAAATACAAAAGTTCCCAGCTCAGGATTATGATTATTATTACACAAAAGTTCCCAGCTCAGGATTATGAGGATTAAACATAAAAAATCCCAGCTCAGGATCTAGAATGTATTTAAGGCGACGGCGAAAAGGCATAAAAGAAGAGAAGGAAGGAGGGG